GCCTACCAGCTGGAGCCGTTGTGTTCTTTTGCACCACGACCCGTGCGGCGTGGCATGCAGTAGGGCTCAGCTGCATGTCAGCCTCCCGTACCCGTCCGGCAACCCTTGGCGGCAAACTGTCGCGAAAGCATGTGAGTGTCCCCAGAAGCGAGGCGGTGGGTCTCAAGGCCGCCGTGGTGGGCTCGTGGAGAGGTCGATACTGTGGCACACGTCTGGCGTGGGGAAACTGGAATTGGACACAGCAGCATCGTTGGCTCGCACGCGACCAGCCACTTTCCACATATTTCGCATCCTTGATTGGCATTCCGCGCGATCTTTATTGACGGGTGGGATTGTACTTGTTTATCTCGACGTATCGCATGTTGTGCAATTCAAGCACGTTTCGTAGGATGCGAAAACCCGCCGGGCCAATGGTTGCGCTCCGAAGCCGGAGCCCTGACTACGCGTTTGGAGTAACCTGGGAGCGGATCATTGGTGCATCGCGCCCTATCAATTCTCTGACGGGCTTGTCTTGCTGACTCTATAGTGGATGTCCTGCTTGGTGTAAGAGCGAGTCAGCTTGGCTACTCTTTCTGTTCCTTCATTGACGTGTGCCTCTTCACTACCATGCTGGGCAATACTGTTGGCGAGACGGGAGTTCGACTAGAGACGGCGACCTGTGGCAGACGGCGCTGCGAGTGCGCCACCGATGCTGTCACAATTAGTTCATTCGAATCATTCGAAATACACGGATCGGTCGATTTGCTCGGTACCTGAGCGTGGCTGGGAACAGTCGCGAATCTTACATCGTTCAAAACTGTCTTCAGAGCACACCTCACGCCCTGTTCAGCGTCCTTCATGAACTTGTGCAACGGAAGTAAGCTTGCGGTTGCTCAAACTTCATCCGTCAGACTAGCGACAGCAAACATGCCGAAGGTATACACAGTGCACAACGTATACGTCGCACAAAAGTCGAATGAGTGTCGACGTAGCACATGCTGCATGCGAGTCTCACGATCATTCCACCGCTCTTTGCGACGCCGTTTCTGTGCAACACTGCAGCGATGAGAACGTCAAGAATAGAATGTCGTTGTTCTAACCGGCCATGCATATGGTTTTCCTAGTGAAGCTCTATGCAGTCAGCTTACAGTACCGCCGGAATTGACAATCCCAAGCCTGAAACTGTAAGCGTCTATAACACCGAGAACGCATGTTCCTCTACGAACAAGACATTCCCCTCAGTCACAGATAGACTCCCCGAAAGTTCTCAGCGCAATGTACTTTCTGCACTCCAACATGCCCAGTCCAACCCAGCCCAAACTAACCACACCCTCCCCTACACAGAAGACCCCCCATCAATCGAAATATTCTGCCCCGTAATACTCCTACTAAGCGCCAACACCCTAACCTGCTCCGCACAATCCTCCACCGTCGCCAACCTCTTCAACTTAGTATTCTGAATCGCCGCCTCCCTCTTCTTCTCCGGAAACTTGAGTCCCCACTCCGTAAGCAACATACCAGGACTAATACTATTCACCCTAATCCGCGGCGCAAGAATAACAGCCAAGCTCTTCGCAAGATGGATCTGCGCCGCTTTCGTCACAGCATACGGCACGCTACTCCCACTGGGCTTGACTCCCGCTACACTCGCTGTGGAGATGAATGTGCCTTCGGTGGAGACTAAGGCGTCTTTCGCGGCGTAGGCGAGCCACATGTGTGTTTTTACGTTCATGGTGAAGCACTTGTCCCAGTCTTCGTCGTTTATCTGTTGCTCGATGTCGGTGAAGGTGGTCATGCGGGTCCAGCCGGCGTTTGAGACGACGACGTCGAGGCGGCCCATTTTTTCGATGGTTTCTTTGACGAGGTTTTGGACCGAGGGCTTGGAGGACATGTCGGCTTGGATGAGGTGGAAACGTGGGTTGGAATCAGAGGAAGGGCCTGGGATGGAGGAGAGCTCTTTCATGAGGGTGGCGGCCCGGTCGGAGTTTGAGGAGTAGTTTATTACCTGGGTATGTTAGTTGCTGTTCTTGGTCGCCGTATATGCTGGACATGTGACGGTAGGTAGGTTTGTATACATACTACACGGAAGTCTGGTGCGAACACGCGTGCTATCTGTGCGCCCAGACCTGCTGAGCTGGCAGTGATGAGTGCAACTTTTGTAGTCGCCATTGTGAGTTCTTGAGAATATAGGAAGATGATAGTAAAGTGGGATGATGCTATACAGCGGAGAGCAACTGCTCCATATGTATCACCGCGGGGTGGACGCGGGGTTCCGCCATTGGATGCGGGTGCGGAAGCATTCCGATGTGGACCCCTCCACCTCCCTTTGTTCTCTAATGTCTTCCGCTATACTTCTTCATCTCAGCACAAATACGGATGGCATCTTGCCATCACGATCGATGCTTCGCATAAGTTCGCCGAGCTTCTCTTCTCGTTGAGAGCTACTGCATCCTATTCATGGGAATCTAAGCTCCTTCCACACTTGGCCGAAGCTCGTCGCCATCGAACACCTCACCCTTTTCCTTCTCAGCAAATACAGCTAGTCCATCAGCGAGAGAACACACACCCCATTCTTTTCGCTCTCAACTCATCTCTCGTATTCCGCATCTCGGCATCACCCTTCCCCACAAGCTCTGAAGGACCAAGCTCATGGATCCGATATCCTCTTGGATGATATCGTTCGTCGCCTGGGACGACACCCCCAACCAGTCGCAGTAATAACGCGTTTGGACCCCACCTCTTCATAAGCGACGGCTTGACGTACCACGGCCTGTCAATATATTGACCAGCATTGGCCCGGCCAGTGCGCTCGTCAATCTCTGTGAACCAGTCCGGGCGTAGAAAGTACGGACGTGGGAGGAAGAAGTTTCGGAGCAAGAACTTGCGAATCTCGACCAATGTTTCTAAAACTTGGTAGTAGATGGCAGGTGGCTGTGGTATGCTTGGATATTGTCAGCATGATGGGTCAATCAAGTAAGAGCTCCATCTTCCACTCACTTCATCGCTTTCCGCAAGCGCGGCTCGAGTAACGTGTATGCCACGGTAAAGCTGAGAGGTTTCAGAGCGGAAGGTACGTTGAACAAGGCGACATCGAAAGTACCACGACCAAGCGTCGCGTTCGTCTCAGCAGGTACCATGTTCTGAGCCTCATATGCCAGACTCCACGCTTCTACCTCTTCCAGCCAGTGAAACCCGTCACGCCATCCTTGGCCCGCAGAAGGTAGAGTGTCGTACGATATCTTCATCGCCTCACCCATATCCTTCCAGTATACACCCATGGCGCATCTCTCGAAGTCTGTCACAGTTCGCCACTCGTATCGGGCGGTCCACCTGATAGGTTCAAGAACGAAGAGGCTAAGCGTATACAACATATCGTCATTCGATATCTTCCCCGCTTTGATGTACCGATTATGAAGGTAGTTCATACGCGCTATACCACTGATGGCGCGTTCGGAATCAGGTTCGTTGATAATCGCCTCGGTCATGATAGTAGCAGTATCAGCAGCACGTTTTGATGCTGTTTCCGGGCATGACAATTGTCCTGTTGCGACAAGCAGCTTCGAGATACTGGGTATGCCATAGGTTTTGAAGAGGGCGAAGAACGTGGATGTGTGGAATATGATTGGGAATTCGAGTTCAGTAAGAGAAACGTGTACTGAATGCGCATCTTTAACAGTCATGCGACTCCATGAAGAGCGGTCGGGGTACTATGTTGCTTGTCAGCCTTGCGGAAGTGAAAGTGTTGATAGTATTGCTTTTACATTCGAGCGGTGAGTGAGGCCATCGCGACGCCTATACCGGAGAGTGCGAACGAGAAGCCAGTAGGCACTGAGGACGCTGAGTATCCAGAAACTTAGACTTGATGGAAGGCGCAGCGTATTCGTGTGACTTGACGACGTCGAGTTCGTGGTTTGAACTGTGTATATTTCCGACATTGCAGCCTGGTTCTGTGGATTAATACCAGACGCGGCTGACATTGAGGAAGCTGAGGTTGACATTGCAAATGATGTTCAGCCGTACTTAACTAAGTACGGTAGCGGTTGGTGCACTTGTGGGCGGAGGCTGAGGCACAGTTGCGCTAAGCCAGCCTAGGAAAAGTGGCACGCCGTGCGTTCCTACTGTGCGTCCTCAGGGTCCGTCCGCGGACTGCGATTGCATCATGTACGACGGCAATTGTCTCCCGTAGAATACAAACCCTTGGAATATCCACGCTCGGCCGCTGCGATTAGAGGTGTTGACTCATTCCTATTTTGGGACTCAATTCACCCTCCGCTTCGTCAATCATATCTAGAACGCGACATGCGATGTCCAGATCTCGATTATCGTTCATAGTAATGCTTTCCGTACCTAAATGTCCTTCTTAGTCCTCGCCAGGACATCTTCTTTTTTCCCCGGCGCCTCACACGTAGGGAAGGTGAGATGTGGCGGCTGACTACAACCGCGCAAGGGTTGACATTTCGTTCTTTCCAATGAGTCGACCTTCCAGGAAGGATAATTAGACATCCACCTCCACCTTTCGTCCTCAGTTGTGTCCTCTATCTCGACACCCGCATAGTACCCTGCTTCAGTCACGATCTCATTCGGAGACGATTTCCCGGTACACGAGGAACGTTTGTTCCGCGGCCACCAACGAACAGTCTAGATCGCCGGCTACCAGCGATAGCGCGCCCATCCAGCCATCGGGTCTGAGCGCATAAACCAAAGAGAATTCCAGATAAAATCTACGCCCCATCTCACCGGTTTTGCTCAGCTCATCGATCCGTCTTGGTCTATTGGACGCATCATTCGCGGGGTGCAGTGAAGGACGATCAGGCTGACCAACGGGATCACCGAAGCCACAAGGCTGAGAATGCTGTCGAACTGACAACTCATGAGTGCATACAGACCCCGCGTCTTGTAATAAATGACAGCGCATGTGTTTTGAGCCTCATTTTGGGGGAAGTTGTCGTGATGGGTTAAAGGGAGGTGTTTCGTCTGGATTGTCGCAGGTATCAACAGGTGTCCTTTGGTGTTTGTACAATATGTCTGTTAGCGATAACTCTACCTTGGACGTGTCGCATGACAATGATGGGTTGGGAGGATATGCGTATGGTACGGGAGACCTAGCAGTCAGTCCTGAAGAAGTCTCGTAAGTACATATCACCACCGGGTCTCAATTTGGCATTGACAGTATCATATAGCCCCTATGCAACCACGCAGATGGTCTCACTGGAAGTTGGACCAGAAGCAACTCGCTTCCTCGTCCACGACAGCGTCTTGAGCCGAAGCGAGGTTCTTGCCGCGAAGTCCTATCCATTGGCCTTCGTCAAGCAGTCCGTACTTCTCCCGGAGCTGGATTTGAACACAGCACACACTCTGGTGCACTACCTGTACACCGGCAAATACCAGAGCCTCAACATACTGGCGTCGTCTGACAAAGTCATACCCGAAGTCTACAAGCTGGGGGCAGGTGTATACTGTGCTGCTGCTCGCTACAAGCTACCCGGCCTTGCTGAGCTGGCCCAGAACAAGCTGAAGTCCCTCGATGAAGAGATGAGCATTTTCGATATCCTCACTGTAGCGAGAGACCATGCTTTCCCTTTGCTACCGGAGGATGATCTGTGGTATCCGAGCTATGTTGAACAATCGCTCAACAACGCTATGGCGGACGATCCTGAGCCGTTTCGGAAGCCAGACTTCATTACGACGGTGGAGGGCAACAGCAGGCTTCTACAACTCGTCTGGAAGACTGTGATGAGCAACTACGCTCGAGCGCCTGCGACGCCGGTTGTCAGTAACGAAGAAGCCACTACTCCAACAGCTGAGCTTGTGCCGGAGCTCAACGAGTCGGTCGGTGGTGAAGCCGATGTCCCTACAACTGCGCCCCCCAAGGAGCAACACGTAGAAGAGACCGCAACGAAACCTGTGTCAGCGCCTGTTCCAAAGGATGTCCTTGAGGAAGCACCAGTTTCGAACGAAGCAATCGTTTCGAAGCCCACTGAAGAAGTCGCACCGAAGCTTGAAGAAGCTCAACCAGTAGAGAAGCCATCAACGCTCGAGCCCTTCACGGATGAGCTGGACTTCAAGTCCTCAAAGACGTACCAGCAGATGGGCAACAGGAAGCCAGAACAGGTCAATACCAGTGATACCGTCTCAGAGACAACCAAAGCTCCTGTTCACGTACGCTCAGACTCGGTGATGCAGGCCGAGCCGCCCTCGATAACTCCTGTCGATGGTGAGACAAAGACCGATGGTGTTGCGCAAGCGGAAGAAGGGACTGAGCGAGCATTGGCCGAGCTAGAGGAATTGAAAGCACTTGGAGCGCCAGGAAGTAAGAAGAGCAAGAAGAAGGCTAAGAAGGTCAAGTTGGCTGCTATGGAGTAGGATCGTGAAGTGCGGCTGCTTCTTGTCGTAGAGCGTAAATAGCTGGCATTAGCAAGCTTGGACATCTACCTTGTAGGAGTCTACCATGCATCGATTTTTTTGCAGCAGTCTTCGCTTTTGATACTAGTACAACCGCCAGTGTAACTGTTCATTCTGCTACTCATATGAGGTGATGCGGTTGGCAAAGACTTAGCCTGCGTCATCGGGTTAGCCAGACCGCACGGCCCCAAGCGCGCTGAAATGGCCCCACCCTTCTCCCCATCTTCCTCCATGCTGATGTCCGTCCTCAACGCGATCGCACCAGACCACCAACTCTTCGCTCGCATACTTCATGTCTCATCCAAGCCTTAACGCACATGTGGAAGGCCTCTGACTGCTGAAAACGGAGCTTGACTGAACATGTTGGCCCACAAGGCTCGGCAAGCGGCACAACAAGTTCTTCAGCCTTGCTGGCATCACGCGCTGTGCGGCAGCAAGGCGAGGGTCTCACATACACGAAGGTAGGATGTGCGACTCACAGTATAATTTTTTTTCCCCGAAAATACGCACATCACAACTAACGTCTAAGAATGTCTTTGAAGAAGGAAAACCGATCATCACCGTCCCGCGCTTCACCGCACTCCAATTGACAGCGACCTGTTGTAAGAGCTTGAACTGACGCAACATATCGTATAGTCCGTCACTACTCAGGCTCTACCCTTCGCCAACTCAGGTGTTCTGCATCGTCACCGGGATCCACCATTGATCTGACTTGAAGATCGCCATAACCCAGGTCCACGTCTCATTCGGATAATCGATGTATATGTATCCTGCTGGTCTCGCCGAACGTCTGCGATGCCAACCCAGCCGGATGTCGTTGACCTAATTCGGACCACAGCAAGCTCTTCATCTGTACGCCATTAGAAGCTGCCAGAGGGAAACATGGTTATTAAGCGTACCAGCTACAAGTAATCTCCGCCACCTCGCTATTGTCCAAAAACTGGGCCTCTTCAGACGGTGCTTGCATATCAGGCCTATGGCGGACAGCGTCACCATGACGAACAAGGTGACAACAGCGAATATAGCCTCTTTGGTCCATGATTGCTTTGCATGGATGATATCTGTTGATGGTGCCACTGGACGAAGTCAGCATCTCGAGAGCCTACTGGACATTGGCACATTCGTAGAGTCGGCGAAGCCAGTATGTTTTACGGAACACATGGGCTCGATGAGATGAAACTATTTGCACTTACTTTCTATCTCTTTCTAAGAGGATGGTAAAACGTGTGCCTACACTTGGCCAGTGGGATCGAGGCGGGAGGAGAGGTTATCTTTGGATAATTTGTTGTATGGGCTCGATAGCATCAAAGGGAGGTGTCGCCAGAAAGGTGGATAAGAAGAGAGTTGGTCTTGGCAACAGTCAATGAGATGAGTTGCAAAAGATTGGACTCAGGCAGTAAGCCAGTATTCGACGCTGAGATTCGGTAGAAAGTCTGCCAGGTAATTGCGAGGCGTGCGAAGTTGTTGCACTCAAGATGACCGAGTATCTGTCAAGGTGAAAAGGTATCTGACAATCGAGGAGTGTGACTTGATTTGTCTAGGTCGGCTAAAAAGTGCTGCTTAAGGAAGCGACGGCGGGCTGCGCCTGCTTTTGAGACGAGCCTCTTTCGCTCTTTCCGCGCGCGGACCACTTTCGATAGCTCGCCCCCCTGTCGACTGGTCAGCCCAAGGGACCCCGGCTATTAGCATGTTCCTTGATTGGTGGATGCGGATCGCTTGACCATTGTATATCATGTCTCATTGGCTTTAACACAGTGGCGCTCAAGAGGCATGCGGGCAACGGATACGCTAAGTTGCGCAGTACCAATAGGCTGGCTGAGTGCTATTACGGAAATCAAGTAGAGCCGACTTGCGAGGACGTCAGGTCGGTGCAACGGTGAGAGGGCTAGTAGGGCAGGCGCAGAAGAGCTGGGTCTGTGGTTTTCACTGATCGTTAGCATTCCTTTCTGGGCTGTTGGGTTCTAACTAGCCTGGGCGGACACGCGCCTCATACTTGCAACTTGCGGTAGTTTTAACTGTTGTGAGTGTACGGAAGGAGGTCACGGTGGGCACTTCCGAATCGTTGCAGCTTGAATAATCGACACAAGCTGGAAGCACTCTTGTGAGGGTCGGGACAAGTGGCGTATATATGGCAAGGCTGAGGGGTCTCGGTGTGTAACGTGCAGACCTAGCCACGTCATGATCTCAACTCATGCGAGAGGCCCAATGTCAATCTTGCTCCAGTGATGTGGCTCAAAAGAGGACTGGCCTCTGTTGCCTTCACATCGCTATTAGGCTATTCAAGTGACTGTTTCCCAAGTTTAAGAACGATTGAAGGCTCATCGTATCCGAATCCTCCATTACACGTTCCCCCTCTTTTCTCACTGTATGCATCACTCAACTCTACGAGTATGTCTACTACCTCGCTAGATATCAGTTCTTCCTGTTATACTCTGACCCTTCGTCAATACGATACTTGCTTGCTGATGCTTTGCCTTCCGTTCTACCGCGGGGTGTTCGGTCGCGCCACAATAGCCAAATGATGGTACAGTCGGGACGCAACATTGTGAGCTTCTACATGCCAAAAACATGCAACAACGAACCACACCCCGTAAGTACAGACACTTATGATCTCGACTGCGATCTACTGTTGTGTCACAATCGTTGAGAAAACTCGGTACTTCCATGTCATCGGTACCAAACAGCGGCACGATACTTACTCGCACATGGCTATCAATGGAGATTCAGTAGGCAGTCGGGATATTGGCCCTCCCAGGATTACAACATAAGCGGAGAGGAAGCTTTTGTATACTCATTTCATTCCCTATCCAAATATTCATTCTCAAAGAATCCCATACCTCTCCCCTACCCTCAGCGACCCGGCACTTGCAGCAGTAGAGTAAACTCATATTGCACCAGGCGCTCAAGAGGCAAAATGGAAAGAAGGCATATGCCATGGCTCAAACCAGCCCATCCGAAACCTTCCCAGCGGACAGGTAACATTCCACTTCCATATATATAAAAAAGATCCTCAAGACATTATCGACTAAAGTATCTCGCCTCGCCTGCTCCGGTGACCAGCCTCGATAAGTGAGATGGGGGACGGTTGGTGCGAGGCTACAGGGGGTATAGGCATCGAAAAGCAAAGAGGTCTAGTAGTGACTGGCCTTCCACTGCATATCTGCAGTGGAAGAAGGGGCCGCTACAAAGAATCGAAGCCAAGCGAAGGGCACAGGGTAAACAACAAATTCACAAGGAACCGCGTACCGCTAGTTGGAAAGATTTCACAAAAGGAAATAGCGAAAAAATTCAAATCAAGATCAAGAAACCGCTCAAACGTTCCTCATAAAAGCACCAGTCTAGAATCAAACTTCTTCTTGTTTACATAGCCATACCAGGGACCGGCTTCCGGGCAGGAATAGGAACGGGTCCGTTGGGGGTAATGGCGTTGGGGTTCATGGGACTGGGACCGGGTGCTGGACCTCGTCGTGGGTTGCCGGCCTGGCTCGCGGAGTTGGATCGTGGACGCCCGCCCATTTGGGGTGGGGGTGCCATCTGGGGTCCGCCGCCGTAGGGACCGGGGGACATGGAGCGGGGTGGGCCGGCGTAGGGCGCGTTACTGTTGGAGCGGCCGCGGGGAGGTCCTTGTTGGGGAGCGTTGCTGTTGGATCGCATGCGTGGGCCTTGTTGCATCTGTGGGGATGGCATTTGCTGGGGCGACATCTGGCGAGGGGACATTTGACGGGGACCGGGGCTGCCTTGGGGCATGTTGGGAGAGTTCATGCCGGGTGACTGGGGACGTTGCTGAGGACCGCCCGGACCCATGGCTGGGCGAATGGGTGGGCCGCGCATGTTACCTGGTGGTGGGGGACCGTTGCGAGGAGGGCCGTTACGGGGCTTGACAGGGTGCTTGGAGAGACATGTGCGGGGGACGACACCTTGCTGCGAGCGGTCCATGCGGATGCAGAGAGCCTGAGAGGAGTTAGTCATTTTGTCAAGTTATGGGGAACAGTCAAACTCACCCATCCATCGTCGTACTCGTGGAGCATGCGAACCAGCTGACCAGCGTGGAGATCGAGTTCATCTTGCATGGAAGGCTTGAAGTCAAGTTGAACACGGTGAACGTTGTTAGGACCGGGACCCATGGCAGGGCTCTGGGGACGACCACCAGCCATAGCGCCAGCAACAGGAAGAGGACCAGCAGGAGCTGGGCCGGGGGACGCAGGGATGTCTTCAGTCCATGCCGGGCTCGGGGGAACACTTCCGTTGTTTCCGGCGACTGTTGGTGGCAGAGGAAGCTCAGAGGTAGGAGGAGGGATCGTAGACATGGCAACAGCATTAGAATCAGCGGTAGCGATAGCCGGAACTGGGTTGGCGAAATCAGAGCTGGGCTTTGAAGAGTGCATAGCGGAGGCCATGGGAGAAGCATTGGGAGGCGAGTCGGGGATAGAGGCTTGCTGGGTGTCGACCGCAGCGTTGTTGCCGAAGGGGTTCGCTGAGGGAGGACCAGATTGCGCCTCAGGATCCTTGAATGGGTCGGCAGCGGGAGCGTTGGCGGCACCACGTCGCTCCCAGGCGCTGGTAGGACGTTCGGCTGAGGCTGAAGGCGAAAGGTTGCGGTTCTGGGATTGAGCAGCAGCACCACCGGCGGCAGCAGCGACATTGAGCAAGTTTCCTCCACTCTTGCGCTGCTCGCTGAATGCTGGGTCAAATTGGGTGACTGGGCGCAGGCTGAGGCGGGGTGCGGTTGATGCAGTACGGGCAGAACGGATGCTGCCTGCTGGAGCAGCGCCAGCGATGATTTGAGGAGGCGGTGGTGCGGGTGCGTTGTACATCTCAGTCTTCTCGTTCTGAGCAGCAGCGGCGGCCATTTGCTTCTTCTTGCGACGGTACAGGAGCAAGATACCAGTGAGGATGGCACACAAGACCAGGAGTATACCCAGGGCAAGACCTGCCTTCGCACCGGTGGACATGCCATCTTC